GGGGGGAGGGGGGAGGGGGGAAGAAGTGCTCCCCCAGGACCCTGGAAGAATATGATGCAAAAGTCCATCAGCAGAGTGGAGAGAAAGACTTCAATGAAGAGAAGGGCGATAACAAGCAGCATTTTTTCTCAGAGTCTAGGCTCTCAGCCACGGGAATGGCAGGTTGAACCTACAGACCAACAGTGACTGCTGGTGAACTCAAGAGTTCTCCATGGAGAAACGCACCAATGGAATGGAATAGTGGATGCAGCAGGATGCAGGAGCTGGTGAGTTATTTGGGTTCAGACATCACCCACGAGAGGGAAGCTTGACAGTAGCCACCTTAGAGAGGAACCAAATGAGCTCGGAACTCAGAACAGCTACGGGCAACTCCAGTGTCTTGGAGCAGGTGCCAAGTTCAAGTCATCAGGAGGCCAGGGAGTGGAGTTCAAGCTGGCAGGAGTCACATAAATAGGAATCCCGATTCCAGCCTCATAGCCAGACACTGGCCTAAACTTCAGTGGAACTACAGGGGCAGTGTGGGATTATCCACTACCCCACCATAATGCTGTGGCTGGCTTTCTGAGATTAATTAATTCAGCTCTGGACTCTTTGCTCATGCTGCCTACCAATGACAGCAGAGACAAACCTTTAATTGGACTTTTTTTTCTTTTCTTTTTTTCCCCTTTCTGGTTCTTGTTTCGCTTTTTTTCTTGATTGTCTCAACAATTTCTAGTTTTTTGTTGTTATTCTTCTCTTCTGTTATTTCTTCCTTTTCTCTTTCCCACCTGCCTTCATTAGTCTCCTAAAGTTTGTCCTCCAGCCTTGCTGCTGATCTCTTCCTCTTATGTTTCTGTTTTTTTCCCCACTACCCCTTTTAAAACTTCTCCCCTAAGGGTAAAACTGCCATATTAAGGTTATATTTACTGCACAAAGTTTTCATATACTGTCTAGGTTTTTCTATGTAACCACAAATCTAGCTCATACGGTTAAAGGAAACAAATTAATAGTTACCACAGTTTGTCATTTTCTAGGCCGTACTTGATGCTATTGTTGTTGACTGCACTATTTTAGCCATGATGATATAACTGCTAATCTGTACAGTACTCTGAAAAAAGAGACAAAAGAGGATATCAGAAAATGGAAAGATATCTCTTGTTCTTGGGGAGGAAGAATCAATATACTAAAAATGGCCATTCTTCCAAAATTTTCTAGATTTAATGCAAACCCGATAAAAATTCCAACCACATAGGGCTCAGTGGCACCACACCTGCCTCACAAAAGCAAGGTCCTGAATTCAATCCTCAGTACTGGGGAAAAAAAAAAAAAATCCAATAGCATATCTCAAAGGATTAGAGAAAACAATCCTAAAGTTCGTTTGGACCAGAAAAGACCTAGAATAGCAAAGACAATTTCAAGCAACAAAGGCAATGAAAGAGGCACCACAATCCCTGACTTGAAATTATACTACAAAGCAACTGTGATAAAAGCAGCATGGTAATAGAACAAATAAACAAACAAACAAAAAACAGACCTGAGGCTTAGTAAAACAGATTAGAAGATGCAGAAACAACTCCAGACATACTGGGCCACTTCATCTTTGACAAAGGAGCCAAACACTTTCACTAGAAGAAAGATAGTGTCTTTAGTAAATGGTGCTGGAAAAATTGGCCTTCTTGCCAAAAATTAAAACTAGATCTATATCTTTCACCATGCTAAAATTCTGAGAGTCACACTAAACTTAAATTGAAATGGATCAAATATCTAAATATTAAAACAGAAACATTAAGTCTGCTGGAAGAAAGAATAGGTAAAACTCGGAAAGACTTTAGTATAGGAAAGACTTTATGAACAAAATTCCGATCACACAGGACCTATTACAAAGAATCAACAACTGGGATCTCATCTTATTTATTTACTTTTTTGTACCGGGGATTGAACTCGGGACCTTGCACTTGTGAGGCAGGCAGGGGAACCACTAAACTAAATCCCCCAGCCCCTGGCATCTCATCTTATTAAAAACCTTTAGGATGCCAGGGATTTATTTAGCCCAGTGATTCTGCCGTCTGCCTTGCAAGCGAAAGGTCCCAAGTTTGATTCCTGGTACCAAAAAAAAAAAAAAAAAAAAGGGCTGGAGATTTAGTTCAGTGGTGCAGCCACCTGCCTCACAAGCACAAGGACCTGAGTTAGATCCGCGGTACCAAACAAAAACAAGCTTTAGGCCTGGGAATTTAGCTCAGTGGCACCACACCTGCCTAGCAAGCATGAGGTACTGAGTTCAATACCCAGTACCAAAAAAAACAAAAAAACAAAAAAACAAAGGCTTTTGCACAGCAAGAGAAACCACCAACAGAATGAAGGGACAACCCATTGGGGGAAAACATATAAAGAATTTAGAAAAATCAGACCCCCCCAAATTTAAAGACCCAATCCAAAATCAAATGAAGTAGAAATGGCAAATAAATATATGAAGAAATGTTTAGCAGCACTGGTCATTAGAGAGATGCAGATTAAAGCAATGCTGAGATTCCATGTCACTCCAGAAAGAATGGCTCTTATGAAGAAATCAACCAATAACAAATGCTGGCAGGGTTGAGGGGAAAAATGAATCCTTCTCCAGTTGGTGGGAGTGTAGACTGGTGCAACCACTGTGGAAATCAGTGTGATTCCTCAAAAAACTAAAAATATAGATTCTATTCTATTCGACCCAGCTATTCCTCTTCTTGATATCTTCCTGACAGAATTAAGGGCATTATACCAGGATTTAGTTCAGTGGTTCCGCTGCCTGCCTTGCAAGCACAAGGACCCCAGTTTGATCCCCAGTACCAAAAAACAAACAAAGAAACAAAACAAAACAAAAAGCAAATGCATTATACCAAGGCAGGCATGGTGGCACACGCCTATAATCCCAGCACTTGGGAGGCTGAGGCAGGAGGATCGCTGTGAGTTCGAGACCAGCCTGAGCTACAGAGTGAGTTGCAGGTCAGTCTCAACTACATAGTGAGACCCTGTCTCAAAAAACCAAAGGAAAAAAAAATCATTATACCACAGTGATTATGCACACCCATGTTTATAGCGGCACAGTTTGTAACAGCTAAATCTTAGAAACAGCCCAAACAACTATCAAGTGACTAATAAACAATATGGTATTTTTATATAATAGAGTATTACTCTGCCATAAAGAAGGATGCACTTGAGACATTTATAGCTAAATGGATGCACCTTGAGACTATATTCTCAAGTGAAGGACACACATGTTTAAACACCACACATTGTTTCTCTGGTGTGAAAAACTGAATGTGGAAATAAGGACTGAGATGTATCACAGATGTTGGGAAATGGGAAGGAAATGTTCATATGGGAAAAGGAACAGGGAGGGGAGGGGCTAAGGAAGGAAGGGATACAAAAGAAGTGAAAATAGAAGGAAAAATGAAAACACAGCTTTTGTACATAGGGAGGGGAAGGGGCTTAAGGGGGGATGGGATGAAATAAAAGGTTATTAATTAAAAAATGAGGGGAAGAGGGATTGAAGAAGGAGAATGAGGAAAAAAAGCAATATATATCATGTACAGGTATTAATTCCCTATGATGAATGTTATCCTTATATATATCTAAAGTGTACCAATAAACGTTTTGCTAAAAAAAGAAAGAAAAGAGAAAGGAAGGAAAGAAGGAAGCAAGCAAGCAACAGGGAAGGCAGCACTTCTGGAGACCCCGGAATTTCCAGGCAAGAATTACAAATCACAAGCGTTAGGCCCCACTCACCCCTGTCATCTCCTTCCAGCACTTGCTGCAATCGCGCTGTCTCGCAGTCTAGCGTGCTGGCTAGAAACCGAAGCTTCCCGCAGAAGGCCCGGATTAGGTCCATAAATGAAGGAGACCGAACCCGACTCAACGCTCAAACCCCCGCCACTGGTTTGAATTTGTCGGCGCCGGAAGCGCCGTGGGTCTACGCAGGCGTAAGTCTTTTCTCGCGATAGCTGAAGTCTCGCGCGAAGTCGCCAAGAGGCTCGTGAATCCCGTGCTTCTGCTGGCAGGAGGGGTTTGGGCGCGCTGTGGTGCAGGGCTGGTGAGTTGCGAAGTTCCTGGGTCTATACTCTGAAGTGCGTTAGCGGGTTTCTCACCTCCCCTGGCAGGTCTGGGCGTGGGCACGGGCGTCGCACATAGAGGGGATCGGGACTGCACGCCCAGCTCTCTGCAGCCCTGTCCTGTGCACCTTTGTCGGCAGGCACCATGTTCCTTACTGTCGTCCTCCGACGCGCTCGCATCCCCGGCCGACTGACGATCGGGAAGCACCGGCGGCCGCGGTTCGTGTCTGAGCAGGCAAAGCAGAACATGATCCGCCGCCTGGAGGTGGAGGCGGAGAACCACTACTGGCTGAGCATGCCCTACATGAGCGCGGAGCAGGAAATCGGCCACGCCGCCGAGCGTCGGGCTCGGGCCTTCGAGGCCATCAAGGCAGCCCGCAAGGCCAAGTTCCCCCCGCACAGGTTCACTGCCGACCAGCTCGACCATCTCAATATTACCAGGAAGTGGGCCTGACCCTGAGCCTTGCTCTTCTACTGTATGGATAACGGGACTCCTCTGCCTACCTGAACTTGGGGACTGAAACTAATTTCTGTAAAATTGTGAATCTTTAGTGTTTTATTAAGACAAACCAACCCCACATAGGGCCCTGTAAATAGAATATCAGGGGCAGTGGAGAGTGTGAGCAGTGACCTGTTAGGTTTCTCTTTTTTGGAGCTTAATAGGAAGACATCAGGGGTTTCCAGGGTCATAAATGATAAAAAATCTTGAATGAAAGCTGCAATAAAACTGTCTATTGTGATTTCAGGTCTCAAAGTATGAGGTCGTTGATGGGAGCTTTATTGTGCAATAGTATTTTTGCAAAAATAATTGCCTAAGTTTGATCACTAGTACAAAAAAAAAAATTGCCTGAATTTAAACAAATACAAGCTTTTCAAGTTCGACATACTATTAAAAATAGCTCTTCCTGGGCCCGGGATTTAGCCTAGTGGTTCCAGCGCCTGCCTTGCAAGCATAAGGTCCTGAGTTTGATCCCCGGTACGAAAAAAAAAAAAATAGCTCTTCCTTCTAGGATCTCACGGTGGACATTTGAGTGAAATAAGTATTAGAATTGTTAACATAAAAGTGTATTTATTTTGTAATATAATGTACTGTAATATTCACCACTTGAGTATGTTTGTTTTTTTGTCAAAAGTGGTGACCCACACCTGAAGTCCCAGCATTGAAGGCCGAGGCAGGAGGACTATGGTGAGTTCAAGACCAGTCGGGGCTACATAGCAAGACCTTGTCTCAAATAAATAACCTTATTCCAGATATAATAAAGATATCCAGACACTTAGTATTACCAACTACAGCACCCTAATAGTTGGCCCTATTTTATATACAAGAAAATACTTAAGGAACTTGTCCAAAGCAGAAATATTTTTAACTGCTATACATACATTTAATAGGTAGTTGTTTTTGAGACAGAGTTTCAATGTGTATTTCAGGCTGGCTTGGAACTCTGTGTGCCCAGGCTGGCCTTGAATCTGTGGCAGTCCTCCTGCCTCAGCCTCCCAAGTGCCGGGACCACAACCATGCACCTCCATGCTGGGAGCATTTAATAGGATATTTGCAAATCGCATAGAAGGAAAAACTCCACTACCCCTAGTGAAATAATCTCCATACTGCATTTTTGGTTTTGTCTTATATACATAGATTTTGAATAGGTCATGAGATTACAGATAGATGGAATTTAGAGCCAAAAACTCTTTAACATTTAAATAATGACACCAAGTGGCTATCAAGAAAACAGACTCCAAGACTGATGTATGAGTGCCCATCTTATTTTCCAGCACTGAATTAACCAGAAATACCCTATTTTGCTAATTAGCTAATTCCCACCTTAAAATCTGCCATTAGTATGTATAGGCCCTGGTAGAGACACTATTATTATTATTCATTGCACTTAACAACAGTGCTTAGGCATTTCATAGTTGAATGTTTAACCAAACTGAACTGTTAATATTTTGTATCCTTGTTATATAAATACTTAAATGCTTTTCACTGCTCATAGAACTGTCTTGTGTATAGGGGCAATCTGATATTCTGAACTTATATTTTCATGCCAGGAGATAGTGGTAGCTCAAGCAGTTTACCACAACTGGTACTTCTGTTATTCTTATCTATATATAGGTCAGAAACCTTTGAGTTTGAAGTTTGAGAAATGATTATGGTTAATTTGAATCTCAGAAGATACTTGGGAAGCAAAATAAAATCTTGATCTTGAGAGACAAGTAGGTTTTTTTTGTTTTGTTTCATTTTTTGTTTTTGTTTTTGTTTTGAGACAGGGTCATATCATGTAGCATAGGCTGGCCTCAAACTCACAGTAATCCTGCCTCTGCCTCCCTAGTGCTGGGCTTACAGGTGTGTGCTACCACATCCTGCCCAGTAGGCATTTTATAATTTTTAAAACAATCTTCTGAAATACATATACTCAGTATACAGATGTGAAACAGAAGCTCCAAGTCCACACAGCTAAGAAACAGCAAAGGTAGAATTCAGGACTAGGTTTATCTAAAGACTTTTAATATAAGACATGAGGTAGTAAGAATAAACAACTGTAGTTGTACTCACTTTTAGCCAAGGCAATGCTGTTAAACATTTAACTTTTCTCCTTGAAAAACTCAACTGTAGCCATCACAGAGTTATTAATTTTTACTGACAAGCGAAGGCTCGTTGCCTCTCAACTCTTCATAATCACACATGTAATAAAATATAATCTCAGACTTAGGATAGTTTGATTTAAGAGTTTTTTAAGTTTTATGATGGTGCGGAATCTGCACAGTAGAAACTACTTCCAGTTTTGAATTTTGAGCTTTTCCTGGGCTAGTGATAATGTGGTACAGTCCTTTCATGATGCTGGGCATTGGCAGTAAGCTGCAACTCAGCCATCAGGTCAGCAGGGGAAACCAACACTGATACACTAAATGCTGTGGCTGGTAGGGTAGGTGATTTCGGTGTTTGTACTCTGATGGGTTTACTGAACACAATCCCATGGTAAATCAAGGTGTGTGTGTGTGTGTGTGTGTTTATGCCAACCTGTGCATTATCAACAATTTCTGGTTGAAGTTGTAATATGGCTTCTGAGCTTCCATTTGATTCAGTTGTTGAATCCAGAAAGGGCCATTTCTCAACCTTGCCTCAGCAGGGAGGAAAACTAGCAAAGTTTTAGAAGAGGCAGTGCTTTAGCAAATTCCTAGTTTGCCTGTGGTGCAAGTAGGTGGAAGAATTAGGTAGAGAACAGCCTTGTGATTGTTGAAGGAATTGCCAGTATTGGAGTATTGCTGCAGTGTAGGATTCTTGTGGGTGGGGGAGAGAAATTATAGAAGAGGCCAAAGAAGTAGGGACAAAACATGAAAAATCTTGCATAACACAGAAATGTGATTTCTATTATGTAATGGTGAGGAGCTATTGAAAATGTTTAGTGAAATAATGAAAAGTATTATGGAATATGGCTTGGTGAAGGGAGAGACTGGAAATATACTAGGTGTTGTAATCCAGCCAGGTACACTGTTGAAGTTGAAAGGGATTAAAAGGTAAAATTAACAGAAGTTGGTGAGGAATCAGATGACTCCCTAATTTTCTGGCAGTGCACAGATAGAGGGTGCACTATGATTTAGAATAATGCAGTTACCATCAGTGACTTTTTTCTTCAGTGTATTCATGTGGAAATGCCATTTGCTTTTCCTTTGTTTCAAACCAACCTAATTGTTGAATAATGCCAGAGAAACACATAATTAGAGTTACTGCTGTTTAAATTTATGACCACAAACAATCCAGAACGCAATATTGCCCAGTAATATTACCACATATATTAGCTTGCTGAGACTGTGTTGTAGTCACTTTTCTCACTGCTGGGATAAAATACCTGACACCCAAAACTTACAGAAGAGGTTTATTTTGGCTCATGGTCACAGTCCGGCTGGCTTCAAGGCAGAAATGGTACGGTGGAAGAATCTGGCAAAGGAAAGCTGCTTACATTATGGTAGCCAGGAAATTAGAGAGGAGCTGGGAGAGAGACCTATTCTTCTGGGTCCGCCCCCCAGTAGCCAGGCCCACCTAACCGCAAATCAACTGCACTCATCAGTGATGTCTATAGTGCATCCGTGACCCAGTCACTTCCCAAGTACATAAGACTTTTAGGGGACATCCAAGATCTAAACCTTAACAGGGTGCTGTACTAACACACTATAATCTGGGTGGATTAAAACAACAGAAATTTATTCCCACAGTTCTAGAGTTCTAGAAATTGAAGATGGAGGTGTGGATAGGACTGGTTTTCTCTGGGGGTAACAGGAGAACTTACAGACTACTTTTGCTTTCAGATGGCTGCCTTCTTCACATGGTTGTTCCTCTGTATGTGTATATGTCTATTGCAATGGTAGCAAACATGGCATTGAAAGCTTTAATAGGTTTGCCACAACTGGTCTACTGTCAATTTATTTCCATATTTCTACTTATATTTTTTATTTTTCCATATTTCCTCTTAAAAAAAAGACACCATCCATATTGGGTTAGGGCCTATCCTAACCCTAACCCTGTCCTAACTACCCATTTAATTACTGCCTGTAAAGATCTTATCTCCAAATTTGGTCATATTCTGATATTGGGCTTTAGAACCTTAATATACAAATTTTGGAAGATATTTATTCAGCCATACCACCATGTTTCTTTGATGTGATTTTCTATTTAAGGAGAAAACTCATCTTTCCCTCTCCAGATGCCTTCCACCTACAGGCCCTCCTCTGTTAGCACCCTCAGCTCTCAGTTTTCACTGCTAAAGTTGAAGTCATCATTGTGCATCATTTGCTGGATATATGATCTTCTCTGTTAAAGTCAAGATATATCTCTTTTCCATTTCTGTGCCATTTCTAATTTAAAATAAACATCATATAAGTTCACTTAAAATTTTTAATATGTGGGGGGATCACACCCAGGGCCTTGAATATGCAAAGCAAGCACTTTATCAATGAGCTACACCCCTAGCCCATGAACATGAAAGTATTTCCTCCCTCCCACAATTTTCATGAGATGATAGTAGAGAAGCCAGGCATAGTGGCATATGACTAGAACCCCAGAATTCTGGGAGACTGAGGAAGGATTGTCATAATTTGGTGAGACCCTGTCTCAAAATATATATATGACTGGAGATGTACTCCAGTGCAAAGTCTCTGGCTCAATTTCCAGTACTGCCAATAGTAAAAACAAAACAATAGTATTTTTACCACTCCAAAAGCACATTTTGTGCTCTAATTACAACCCTCTATAGCCATATTAGCATCTTTGTGGGGGGGAGAAAAAAGAAAAGAGCGGGGGTGGCTGGGTGTATGGCTGTATGATAGAATATATGCTTAACATGCAACAGAGTTTATACTACACAAACATACACATACACACGCACACAAACCAAGAAAGAAGAAAAACCTGGTTCCAGACAACCATTAATTTGTTTTATATGTTATTTTTTGGATTTGCATATAAATTAAATTGTAAGGTGTGTATATTTTGGTATGTGTCTTCCCTTGTGTAGGGAACAGGGAAAGGGGATATAATTAGAACTCCTGCAGTGAGTCCTGGTCTCCTGTGAGCCACGACAGCACAAGGCAAATTAATTAAGACAGAAACAAAACTTAGGCTTGAGCTTTGGGCCTGATCAATGCTGCTCTGGGCAGCAAAGATGAAAGACCCCAAGCTTGAAACAACTTTATTCAGTACCTCAGGAGTAATAGATAACTGATAACCCTAGAACAATGAGAAATTTAAGCAGATGAAGATTTTGTTGCTCCCCAGGATGTTTTCAGCTGAAGTAATCCTGCCCTGGAGCATCATAGCATCACCAGACCATTGAGATTTTAGCTGTGACCAGAGGTGAAAATGGAGCTATAGTTTTAATGTTATAAATCTCACAGTATTAACTTTTGCTTTAACAATATCTTTTAAAGAAATAAAAATAAAAACACAAAAACTGTTTTTGGTACTATGTATGGAACCCAGAACCTTGTGCATGCTAAGCATGTGTTCTACCACCAGGCCATATCTCACCCAAAATGTAATTTAAAAATATGTATTTTCCATTTCTAATGGTTTTTAAAAATAGATCTGATGCACAAAATTCATTATTTCCAAGATGAGCATGGGGGTTGCACCCTTGTCATCCCAGCACTTTGGGAGGCTGAGGCAGGAGGATGGCAAGTTCAACTCAAGCTTGGGCAATGTAAGGGATTTAGTGAGACCCTGTAGCCTAGGTTGGCCTTGAACTCTGGTGATCCTCTTCCCTCAGCCTCCCTTCCTAGTGTTGAGACTAGAGGCATGTGTGACCATGCCCAGCTAAAATAAAAATTTAGAAGGACTGGGGATATCATAGCTCTTAACTATTTAATCCAGAATACGTGATACAGAAGTACTTACTATATACTCACTGGAAAAAAATATATATCTAAGCAGTGTAAAACCGTGAGGAAACCTGAGAACAATGATGATGTCACCATGGGCCACACCACCTACCTTCCATTTCCAAACTGCAGTGGAGCATGAGAATCTTACGGAAGCCATCTGGATTCTCATGACTTTTGAAAGTAGAAAGGTGTAGCCGAATTGTTGATTCCGCCAGCGTAGACAGTGCTTACACAGAAGCTTAGGAAAGCACCTGGTATTTTCTTGTTGGGTCAAAGAAAAAGATTTTCAACCATGCCAGAGACAAAAACAAGAGTGACTCTGAACTGTTTTCAGCACCCTCTGATTGAGGAATGTCAAAACTTGATAGTATATCACTTTTTAAAAGACAGTTACCACTTCAGTGCTTACAGTAAGGAAAGAAATAGTCAGCAGATTTGACATGATCCCTTAAAAGGGCAACAATGCAGCACCCAGGAATAAAGCATGTGAAGATCCAGAAGACCAAGAATGTAGATTAATTATGTTGGATCCCTATAAAATACTTACTCATGATTCCTTTGAAAAAGCAGAACTCAGTATTTTAAGTTAGCTTAATCTGGAACTTATGAAAATTTAAGTCAGAAGCGATCTTGAGAGCTGTGCTTTGTGAAGGTCAAGATGTGATTTCAGGGTTTAGCAGAGAAGGACATATTGCACACATGAAACTTCAAGATCATCAGCTACCGTTGAAGCATTTAATTGGCCAAATTATGATTGACAAAAATCCAGGAATCACCTCAGCAGTGAATAAAATCAGTAATAGTATTGACAATTCATCACAAAATTTCAAAATGGAGTATCTGGAGAAGAA